GCGACCTCATGGGCCAGAAGGCCCTTGGCATCCTCTCCAAGTGAGTGGCGTCTTTGAAGGAGATTTCACCCGTAGGCAGTTGAACGGTGAGCGCCCTGAGTAGTCAAGAGCAACTGATGATAATTTTGATCCTGTTGCGGCAGCTCTTAGCTTGGTTCGTGTTGAGCGGGATCACCTTCACATTCGTTGCTTCAGCAGTGATTAAGAAGCTTCTCGACATTCTGCGCATGCCTTTGCAGCGCAAGCTCATGGTCGCCTGCCTAGGACCGTAATGGACTCCTGTTGTAGCGCCTTTATTCTACGGGCATCAGCTATGACTACCCTGGATGTGGCTGCTGCATTTTTTCGTGAAGTGTTCGGAAAGGAGTCGCCCACAATCGCTTTGAAGAACCGCACAGAACTGTCCTCCTCAAGTGGATAATCTGTCCATTTCGAGCCAGAAAATGAGGTCGGTCATGTGCTTCCGATGCTTGCAGCAAGCTCAGCCCCTAAACATCAGCAAGCAGGTCGTTGTGGATCTGCTGCTTCTCAACAAAAGCCCGATACAATTCCGCCTGGCTCAAGGGTCAGCAGAAGTAATAGCCGCAAATACATGGCGGAAAAATGGCCTGACCTCTGACATGAGCTGATTGATCCACAGTGGATCGTGTGGGAATTTTTTTTACCAATGTCAGTGACAGAAGTTGTGACAAGAGCAGAGCAGCCTAGCCAGACTTCGTCTCAACAAGCAAATTCCGTCTTCAGCCTTGTCCCGTACAGCAACTTGCGGAGCCAGGAGCACACTGGAAGCTAAGCCAACCTGGAATAGAATCCTGAATTAATCGAGGCCCTGTGGGGTGTCTTCCGCATGCGGCGTACGCCGCGTGAAACATGCGACCCCTTCGGCGCCACGCCTTTGCACAATGCATGCTTAGCCCGGCGATCTGCAGGGAGAGAAGGGATGATAAAGAAATTGCTAAAAGACGGGCATTCAGCCAAGAAGAAGGATGCCGCTGGAATGACTCCTTTGCACAATTTGTGCAGAACAATTGGGAGGCACGGAGGCTGAAAACATGTTGAGTTTCTTTGCAGAGTACGGTGGGATTTTCCCTGTAGTGGCTCCTAGCTGGAGATGGCATTCTGTGACACCAGTTGCTACGTGTGCTTCCAGGAATGTCCCTGAACTGGCTTCGTGCGCCTCGCACCTGCTTCAAGCCCGCGCGGACGCTAATGCCAGGGATAGATGCGGCAGATCGCCATTGATGCCCCTTGACAGGCATTTGGATCGCAGGATGGATGCAGAATTCAAGTAGTCTTGTTTTGCTTGGTTTTGTTTGCGTTGTCTTCTTGTTACTCGTCATGTGGCATTCCTGCTGATACTTCCATTCTTTGCAACGATAATTCTGCAGACTTGCAACAGTGTCAACAGCAAAACAGGGGACGGGGGTCAGGGTCGTGATCCTTGGACCTGTCGCGGGGAGGCAAAGTCATTAAATTCCGAAAAAACCTGCCCAAAAAGAGCAGTAAACATGCCTTGCAACTCAGCGGCTTTAGTGGCCACCCTGCAAATTTGTGCAACATTCAACTGGTCAATGTGAAGCGTTTCTAAAACTTTGATGCCAATGCTGCCATACCACTAGGAGCGATCATGTCTGTGCAATTTTCATGCTGTGTAGGTTACTTTGTGCCAACGAGAGCACTTCAGCGTCAATGATTTCAACCCTTGTTGGGCACCGTGCAAATGTGAATGCGCGTGACAAGCGAGGGAGGTCTCCATTGCTCAGCCTTTGCGCCAACGAGAAGGTTTCGTCTGAGATGATAACAGTGCTGCTTGACTGCCGTGCTGATGTAAACAAGCAATCAAATCAACATGTTTCCGCTCTGCATGAGCTGTGCGCAAACTGGTCACTGCCATCGGCATGCGCCCTCCTGCGGGCACGCGCAGACGTCAATGCCGTGAGCAAGCTGGGCACAACGCCTCTCCATGAACTTTGTGCAAACATCGGCGACTACCAGTGCCGGGATGGTGTTCCACACATGCAGCAGCTCTTGGAGGCCAAAGCCAGCGTGGACAAACTTGACGACGATGTAAGGCGTCCTTGCGAGGTCCTCTGCTTCAATTTCTTCAAGAGCTGTGATGGCTCTGCCGGCCCACTTTGCCCAGAAGTCCTCGACTCTGCTCTATCTCCCCTCCTCCTGCAGGAGGTGTCTGAGCTTAACGTGTCTACATTTCAAAGCAAAATTGAATGGTTCAGAGGCATCTTGGACATGCTTTTGGTTTCATCTCTTCCGGCCTACCCGGAATTCGACATGCCACCATTGGAGGTCCACCGGGATCACGTGCTCCAATCCATGTGCCCGCAGATTGACCACTTGACGCCCCACCTTGAAGAAATTGACTTTGACTTTGAGACTGGCCAAGGGTCTGGTCTCACAAGGGAGCTCTTTGTGGTTTTCTCGGGAGAGATGGCAAATGAGAATTACAACCTCTTCGTCTCCACTGGGACCGACCCCCCAAGGCTGGCGCTGTCTCCACGGCCATGTGTCAACGAGTACCGGGACTGCTACCTGCAGCTTGTTGGCAAGGTCATTGGATTTGCTTTATTGAAGGAGCAACATCTGCCTGTGCACTTGACGAAGCCTTTGCTGAAAGAGCTACTTGACCTAGACTTCTCCTTCGAGGACCTTGCGGACTTTGACCCTGACCTCTACAAGCGGCTTGTGCAGCTGCGCGCTTGCGACGAGGACACTGTCCGCCAGCTTGGCCTGAACTTCTCCCTGGATGATGCTTACTTCGGCAAGAGAAGGAAGGTGAGCTTAGTTCTAGGTGGAGAAGACATCTCTGTCACCAAAGGCAACTTGGAGGTGTACCTCCGGCTGTATGCGCAGCATCGATTGAAGTCAGACGCAAAGGCGCTTATGAACCTGAAGCGCGGGTTTCATTACTTTTGCCCACCGTCTCTCATAAAAGCTGCGCGGAAGCTTCTGACAGTTGAGGACTTCGATCAGCTTCTGTCAGGGGTTGGCGAGATCGATGTTGAGGATTGGCAGAGAAACACGCGGTACGACAGCAAAGGCACTCCACGAACAAAAGTGGTGAAATGGTTCTGGGAGGCCGTGAGATCAATGTCGTGCGAGCAGAGGAGGCAGCTGCTGCGGTTTGCGACGGGAAGAACCAGTGCTCCGATTGGTGGCTTCAAGCTGATGAAGTCAGAGGATGAGCACATTCCCTTCACAATTGCCCTGAAGGAGCAGCCGGAAGTCGCCAAAGTCAGGAGTTTCTACCCAACAGCCGCAACATGTTCCAACCTCTTGCAGTTGCCTCGCTACAACAGCAGGGCGGACTTAGACAAGTATTTAGTTGCTGCCATCGAAGAACAGATGATGGCCTTTGCAGAAGCATAGAGAGCATGCTGCAGGTTTATGGACAAGTGCCAACGCTGCCTTCGCAAAACGATGCGCAGTACGCAGAATCACATGCTTGAGTGCATAATGGGCACCTGTCTCAGCGTAGCGACTGCCAAGTCACATAGATTTCCCGAGTATCCTTCGTGCCTTAGTGCTGAAACCAGGGCCTGCAACATCAGGACCGGCTCCGGACTCTCGCAGCCGCTGACTCACTCAAGCTCCCCAGCTCTTTGTCGATCACTCTATACTTCACTTTTCCGCCAGCATGGGGCGCCTTGACCGCAAAAGGGGAGCGGCAGATCAAGGTGCAATTTGCATCCAGGTGTTGACCCCTCTATCGGATATGGCAGACAGACTGCAATTGATGTGCGTTCTGTCAGGAGCGCTGCGTCCGCAGATGCCAAGAAGGCTCGGTAGGAAATCACATGATATGGGTACATCCTGAGAACGGCCAGCCCAGACCAGCACTTGTTGACTTAAAGGTTTGTGGGCTGCGGGTTGCAGATCCCACGAGGTATCTGAGACAAGGCATGACCAGGCAATTGCAAGTCTTGGGCAAGGCCCTTCAAGGCCGAATGCTGCGAGATAGTTCAGGTAAGCAGTTCTTGCCATGAAATGAGGCAAAGGAAAGTAGACAGACGTCAATCGCTGTTCCTCAATCCACATGAAATTCGCTCATGGCAGCGGTTGTTGGCATCTCCCTTTCCTTTGGAGCTGCAGCATGGTAGACTGCGTTGCAGGAGCTTGAAGGCAAATCCGTCGAGGAGATTGCTGCTGCGCTGAAGGACGGCTTGCCTGGAGCAATGTTGTTGTTGGGGTGAGTCTGACACTGTCGAGGAGGTCAGTGCACAAAAGCGTTCACAATATGTTCCAATGTACAAGAACCTTGCACGTGCTGAACGCACACTTGCCTCTGCCAAGTGCTTTTTCTTGTTTGTGGTGCTTGAGTCAAAAGAATCGGGGCATGAGCTTCAGATTCTTCATTTAGCCCTGAAAGTTCAGCTCTTGGTGACTGTCCAGGAGCTCCCCGCGGCAGACTTGGCTAAAGTGAAGGAGGCTTTGTCTCCAGGTGCTAACCTGCAATCAGGTGTGCCATGCTTCTGCTGATGGCGTAGTTTCCCAGAGCAAGGGTTCTCCAAACGTGTAGATCAGTTGCCCAGCCGTTCCCTGATCTGCTTTTAGAGGTGCTGCGCCTTGTCCCGGGCCGGTGGACTGCAGCGCTGTGAAAGTCATCGCTAAGGCATTGTGGAAGGGGAAGGGTGGGAAGTGACATCAACATTTTTGTGAAGCATTAACCATACATATCCCTGCGTAGGATATATGGGGGTTGTCCAATATTCCTTTTCCCACAAATGCAACTTTTTACTCCCTTGCGCGTTTTCTTTTGATTTACTTTGTTTTCGCGGGAGTTATTCATGAAAGGCTTCAACATTTGTACTGTGCTTGTGCCAGCCCATGGTACGCATTGTGCCAACTTTGTGCATATGTGGGTGTATGTTTTGATTAATTTGTTTAGCGCTCAAATAAAACGAAAGCATTTGGATGACCCTCAGATGCCCATCTGACCTCTACATGACCTTACATGAGTCCAGTCAGAGCTGCAGTACTTTTGAGGATTACAAGGGCCTCTTGGAGCAGCCAGCAGAGCCCAAGTTCAAGGCGCTTTTACCTCCTCTTTGGACTTCTGGTTTAGGGCCGGGGGGTGCTGGAAGTTCGAGCAAGATTAGTTTTTGCAGAATGGGCATCGATGTTTGGCTCGAGAGCCTTCCTTTCAGGGTTATAGGTGTTGCTCTTGCGGCACTGAAGACTTTGAAGCATTGAACGCCTTGATGCCATTATTTGTTTGGGAATGGAGCTTTGTTAATTCCGTTTGCTTTCTTTCAAGACTTGTTGGCTAAGGGGAGGGAGAGAGAGAGAGAGACAACCAGCGGACTGGGGACAGACCAGACCTATAGGGCCACGGGGAAGGGGGCGAGGGGGAGGGGGCGGGCGGCCAGCGGGGGGCAGGGCAGCCTGTGGCGGATTAAGCGCAACGTGAGAGTTAGGTGAAAGAATCCAATTAATATCAAAGTGGTCAAGGGCTAAGCCCCAAATGGCAGCAATGATGGGCAAGAGACCCTTCATGGTGTGAAATAGTGATGTGATGTTGTTAGTACAGTATAAAATAGTCAGTGTGGTGCTGCATGTGCTGCCCCTGTGTGGGGAACACTTGATTGAGCCAGGATCTCAGTCTTTGTGGCAGGTCCCCTGGTCTCTAGCCCGTTGTAGAAGAAGGAGAGAGAGAGAGGAAAGCAACCGTTGCTATTAGGATGCCAGGGAATGCCATGGGAGCACCGCTTTTGTAATTCGTCCGAACCAACGGAACCGTGTGATTTGCTGGTTCAGGGAGAGGGATCCTCCACTCATTTCTGAAGAGGATTCGGAGAATCCTGACTCTTGTATCCAGCATTGAGTGTTCTGATTTTTTGTTTGTGGCTTTGTTTGAAAGCTCATCCCGAACCCTCTTACGTCAGGGGAACATCCTCCATCACCGCAAAGCAAAGGAAAGTAACAAAGGGTTCCTAGTGAGGCGCGGGCATGTGAACTACCAATTTTCCATCGGCATCATGTTTTCATTCATGCGGACGCACGCCACTCCAGCCCTCACCATTAGTGGAGACGTTCAGAGAACATCGTACCCTGACAAATAATCTTCGTCGGTGTTGCTGCCTCCATGTAACGCTCTACATATATGTCAGGAAGCTCGGATAGCTTTACTTGCTGGGAATCATCTCAGTGATCGGAGTCCCTTGTATTCTCACTGATGAATGCTCTCGATCAATAAAAACTCCTAGATTGCAAGCAGCAAGTTTTGGTCAAATTAGGGATCCAAGAGTATTAAACGGCAGAAGCATGATTGGGCCACACAAGCCCTAGAATCAAAGCAAAACAGTGCAGACCCCCAGAAAATTGTGAGATTTAGATTTGAGGTTTAGTTTGAGCTTTGGGGGGTCTGAAAGGCTTGAAACCCCAAGTCCGAAAGAAAGGTTGGTCGTGGCTGGTGGCCGCTCTGAAACTGAGAATAGGAGAGCTGATGCCGAGATGCGATTAGCTCCATAAATTTCATTGGGAGTTGAAGGCTCACATTCTTTTTTATAGTTGAAATCTTTTTTTTTAAATCAAGTAAACCCTCGCAATCAATCAACGTCCAATCCAAACCATTTTAGATTCAACAGCCAAATTCATTTAACATGCATTCAAATCTAATCAAAAGCTACAAGCTTCTTGGAATCAGTTTACATCTAATCAAAACCAATTCGTTATCCATCACTTCTCTCGCTTCTCTTACTCTTACTGCCTACTCCTACTCTACTCTCTACATCTGCTTCTTGTTCTTCATCCTATGACTCATGTTCTTGCCCATATGTCTTGTTCTAGCTCTTACTAATTCTGCTTAACTGTACTACTTGTACTTAGCAGGATTTGCTTTTTCTTTTCGGATTCGAGATCCTGATTCTGGGCAACAGAATAGTTGGGCACAGTTATGCTTATAGCTGGAGGGGAGCACCCTAATGGATCAAGAATGCGGATTTTGCTCTTTGAAGCGCGTCTGAGAAGCTCTGAACTCCTGTTTAACGACAAACCGATTTGGACAATGCCACTTGGGGGTGCGCATTGCAAAAGGACCAGTCCCTCACCCCCCAAACAAAGCACAAAAGGGATAGTGCGGACCCATGGTGTTATGTCATACACTGAAGTGCCTTCTTGTTTGATGGTTTGCATGTGCAAGTACTGACCGGGAGCTCTCGCAAGGGGTGGGCGCGAGCGTGTTCATTCCATAAGGCCATTTCATAAATTGTTACATACTTCAAATCAGCCAGGGCGCGCTTGCACAGATCTTTGTGCGCAGCCAGCCGTATGGAGGCAAAGGGGTTCGTTCAGAATCTCCGAAGGATGAGGATGATGAGGGCTCCCAGATTCTCTTTTGGTCGGGCTCTTTAGGTCTTCGGGCTGGGTTGTTTGCTTGTGGTATGCAAGAAGCCGAACTGGGGGCCAGGCAGCTGATGCTGCATGCTCCCTTGCACTACTGATCTTGTCCCAAGAGAGGTAATTCAAGAAATGATCGCTTGCTTCTGACATGGGTCCTCGCAAGAAGCCCGCCGCAGGCTCCGACAAGAGCAACAATGGTCACCACCTCAAAGCGAAGGGTTTGAGTAGAACCCCATCATCAGATGCACAGGAATGAGATACCTTTCCTTATGCAAGGCTCACGATGAGAATCTAAGCTACAGCATGGTGTTGGTGCAGCTTCTGACTTTTCGCACGTTTGTAGGAGCGGCAAATCTCCCTTCGTGACATGGCCCACCCAACCCAGCTTCAATAAAGGATGATGACGAGACGCTGTAAGGGAATGACTAGTTGGGATCGTGGCCCTGTGTGCTGCTGCCATTTCTTGAGCATCTTCGTGAGGGCAGACATGAGCATGCCCAGGCCACCGCTATGACTCCATCCCGTTTGCAAACGGCATGATCACTGCCGGCATGAGCTGCCAGCTGCCGCTTGGAAAGGTTTGGAGGGGTCTGGAACTGGGTCCTATGGCCGCATGGTTAAGGATCCACTACACACATGAAGAGCACGACAAGTTCTTCGAAGTGTGCAAGAACTTCAACTTCATCATCGTGCGCTGTAATCCAGGCCTGGTGGTCTCTTCCCAACTGGTCCATCAGCTGAAGCCTTTCTGGCAGGTCAGATCAAGGCTGACGGCGGAGACCAGCAGAAGTTCGACGACGGCATGCGTGAGATGCGCAAGGCAGGCATCCAGGCAGGACCCGCGCGTTGGAGTGGGGTGGTCCCTGGTACTGAGCAGCAAGCCAGCGGTAGGTCTGGCCCTCGCCGGACGTGATGGAAAAGATGGGTGCCAAGGATGCTCTGTGCAAGGCCAGCAGCCAGCACTGGGATTTAAGCTCAGAAGGCTTTTACGGAGAGGGGGTGGGAGGGCCAAAGGTGTTTTTTCCATTTGCCAGGCATTTTGAGGCATTCCGTGACGAGTTGTCGCGAGCGCTGAACGATCGGGGTGCGCCGCGCGCGGGTGCAAGTCAGATGCTGATTTACTCCGCACGTTTTGCCGAGGGCCCTGATAAAAGTAAACCATGGTTGTTCTAATTCCTGTGCACCCTTTAGTCTCCACCAAATCTGAACTCAAGTTGCTCCCTGCGACTGCCACTCGCGTCTGCCACCAACAACACCCGGCCGCACGGGTGTGGCCGTCCGTCTAGAGCGGAGCTAAAGCTTTTTCTCTGCCTGGGGCGGCGCCCATGCCGCCAACCCTCCACGCCGAGCATCATTGGATCTCCGCTTCTGCAACCGCCCCTCCCGGAGGCTTCCTGGATCGCTGCGGTTTTGTTTGGGATCCCCAGAACCCCCAAAAAGACATCATGAGCACGGACATTCTTGAAAACTAGCCCCAAAACCCATGTTGGGACAGAGCCTGTGAATTGCTCTCATTGGCCGCTGCTCTTTATGCAGGTGGCGACCCTGAACATTGGCTTGGAAGACACCCTGGCCTACTACAGCCCCGAGGAATTCGCCGCAACCCGAGGGGCTGTGCTTGTCCTACTTTTTAGCTGCTGCTCATTGTGTATCATTGTGTGCTGAGGCCGCGGGCTTCAAGAAGACCATGGCTTTCCAGCCTCGTGTGATCAAGCAGAACCGCGGCTCCTCGGGAGAGGGAATCTGGATCATCAAGCTCGCTGAGGGCAACTACTGCAAGGAGTACGGCGAGCGATCCTGCGAGGATGGCGAGGTGCTGAAGCTGATGGAGGCCAACGACAACCACGAGGAGACGCACACCGTGGCGGAGTTCATCGAGTTCTGCGTGAGTGGCCGTTCGGATAAGTCGGGTGAGTGGACGTCCAAGGGTGTAGGAAAGTATTTGGAGGGTGGCAAGGAAGCTGGTGGCCAGCTTGTGGACCAGCGCTTCTGCCCCCGCATCGTGGAAGGC